TAGCAAGTTGAGTATGTGGTACCTCATTGCCCGATCCCTTTTTCTGCCTTCTTTCATTGTGGGCTCCGGGATATCATGTATTATCACATTTCTATTCCTGCCAAGTGCTAGGTCGCTGCACATCTTGAGTTGGGTTAGGTCAAACTCTAACCTACTTTTTCCCTACTATACTGCGAAGANTCTCAGTTTAAGACGTGCCTAATGACTTCTTAAGGATTTTCTCTTCTCTTTCCCCTCCACTGGTTTATCAGCAGTCTCATCTAATGGAACAGCCTCAGGGATAGCTGTCTTATTATTTAAGGACTTTGATGACTACACACCCTTACTATCTTCTCTGGGCTCATGGTGGCAATTCTGATAGGAGTGCCAGATGCTTCTTTGCTCGATTCTTTCTTCTTGATGGCTTTGTCGCTTCCTGTTTCGTCATATTCCCCCTCAACCTTCTGCTCTAGTTGGACCAAATTTTTCATGCATGTTCTACATAAGACACAGTCCAAATTTAGGCTTTTGAATACTCCATGCCTCACTTCGGATAACACACTGCATCTGATGTGATACCAAACGCAGCACGTGTTGCATTGCATATCTTCATTCACTGCCCCTGTACAGCGCTTTGGTTTACCACATTTACTCTGATTGTCCATCTTGGGGGTGGGTGAAGGCCGGTTGCAGAGTTTGGGGACAGGTTCTTTCACCATTGAGACTTTTGGAGATCAATAAAAACTGAGAGCTAAGTGTGAGAAACCGATACTATAAAAGGACCATTTGAGAGCCATGAGAATACGGAAACAATTATCAAGGAACCTAATGGGAATATACAAACTATGATTTTAGATAAAGCTAGGCTAAACTAACGTCCAAGTGGTGATTGGCCTTCCCGAATCATGCAGTGCAACTCACCTGTGAGTACTTTGTCGTCACTACGGAGATCCCACGTCGGCGGTTACTCCAATGTCGAGACATACGTGTCCGAGAAGTCCAAATTGACAACGTTGCCGTTTTTCCCGAATCTATCTGTGACTTTTGCACCGATTCTGTAGCGGAATTAAGTATGTTCCACAGATACAGCTTTGAAGCTTAATCCGTGTACTGATACGAAATGGGTTTAGAAAGTGGACACAGCTGCCTGGTCAGCATGTGCCATGGAGTTGAGCCAAGTGAAGTTCTAGCCTAGGTGGTGAGACTACTTTTAGAGGGGAGACCCTGGCCTTCGCGAACAGAATACTGCTATGCCTCCTTCTATCTGGCTGAGACGAGCAACTGTAGACCACTACCCCGTAACCACCCTCTAACGCGTCGTCAAAACTTGCCTCTCCTTGGCGTATTCCTGATACGGAAAAAGGGAGTCGTATATCACCCAGCTTGAACAGCCTCATCCACCAGCCTTGCCAGGTCTTGTGATCCGCTTCGCATAGAGTCTCGTCCCAAGTAACCTTTCTTCTACACAGGTCCGGTATTAGCCACGGTTCAACGAACTCCTTTGGATCGTAGATAGAATTCCTCTGCCAGTGGCCGTCTTTTCGAGTAGCTGGATTTGGAACAAAAACTCATCTTTCTCCGAACCCCATTGGACACCAAGTGCCCCGTCTGTTGGTAACGGACTTCCCTGCAAGTCACGGAGACTCGGTGAGCGCTCATCAGCTGGGATGCAATCAATTGTATGACGATTGTTGGACATCCGCTTGGTCAACTTGAACCCTCCCATGAGCAGTAACTTGGATAGATCCCGACTGTTGGACATCCACTTGGTCAACTTGAACCCTCCCATGAGCAGTAACTTGGATAGATCCCTACTGTGTCGAACTGCTTCCCCGATGCTATCAACCGATGCCAGGAAGTCGTCCACATAAAAGTTATGTTCAACACAGGGGCCCGCCGGGGTTGCGAAATGCTGAGCAAACTTGTTCACGGTTGTTTTTAACGCAACTTTTGCACAGAAGGGAGAGGATATCGGGCCAAACGGGTGCATCGTCATCCGATATTCCTGGGCAGGTCTATCTAGGTCTCCATCCGGCCACTACCACAACCATGTAGCGTCCCTTTACCCTTCGGAGACTTTCACCTGCATGAACATTTCCTGGATCTTAGCTGCTACCGCAACTGACCACGGACGGAACCTGCATAGCATCTCAATCAACGGGATTGTCAGATCAGATCTTGTAGTAGACAGTCATTTAGGGCAATCCCGACATACTTGGCAGCACAATCGAAGACAAACCTAGTTTTTTTAGGTATCTCGGGATTTATGACAGGGTGGTGCGGAAGTTACCACAATGGTTGCTCTTTTTCGGCTTCTACCATTACGCCTTCGATATATCCCAACTCAAGATTGCGTTTCATGGCGAAACAGTGTTGATTCTGGAGGACCCGTCTCGAACGAGTTACGCGTGCGTCAGTATTGATACGTCTGTCGAATTCCACCGAACGATCAATCCGGATAACAATACGTTTCACGTAGTCAAATATTGCCCGAACCGATCCCAGTGGGAGAAGACGATCGTCAAAATAGGGTTTGATTGATTATGGACACGGTACTGTTAATTAACAATAAGATTGAAGTTGCATGTTCACAACGAACCTCGATAATGAAACCTCTAGGGTCACAATGTCCGAGAATCACGATAAATACAAATCAAGCAGCGTCTCAAAAATAGCGGAGTTCTACTCCAGCCGCTCGAGTCAACGATATTGAGAAGGATGTAAAAGTGATACAGTGAAACAAATACATGGTCCATGATTTGTGCGAAAAATAGCGTGAAGAATTGATGCCGAAGCATTTGTTACAACTCGATCAACAACCACAAACAAATTCAACAACAGTAGATTTCGTTCAACTGTGCATTCTTTTTCAATCGTTTCTTCAGATAGTTGAGCCTATGGAGGGCAATCTCTCGATTATTGGGCAGTCGATTGGATCCCGTTCGTCAGGGTAACGGCACTTCAAACTGGGTTCCGGTGTGTCATGTCGTTTTGGTGACGACAGCCCGGGCTGCTCGGTCTTCCCTTGAAACAGATACCCTGTCATCTGCTATGTCGCCAAACTCGTGGTTTTAAAGCCGCTCCAGGTCGTCTCCTATAGGATTATCTGGCCTCGAGATGTAGTTGATCGAGGCTGAGTAATTATCATCACTACTGAACGGTCTGCAGCGTATCCAACCAAACATCGTGTGCACAGCATACGGATCTCTACAGCCTCCTATCCCTTGGTCCAGAACCCAACGCGCCTCGGGTACATCACAGCCGATTATTATGTCCACTCGGGTGTCCGGAATATCTTCGAACGACAGATCGTGAAGGTGAGGCCAGTGACGGGCTAACGACCGGAGACTTTCGGAAGCTCTCCTTGGTAGTTCGGTGATAGTAAATGCTTTGCGGTTCTGATGCTTGCTCTCGCCAGCTGACCGTATCCGCTGTTTGTTGTGCGCGATTTGCAGTTTATGAATTCAGTGAGTTCGTCAAAATTTGTTCCTCTGTTCGTTTTTTTCGATTGGATTGGTTTCGGTGGCCCTGGCTATCTACAGTTCGGCAGGCAAACATCTGACGACCGATCCCAGTGTATGTAGTGCATCCAAGTCCGAGCAATAAACGAGGTGATTCAGGGCAACGCTGCAGTTTTGCAGCTGGATGACCAAGTTCAACAGAGACGTGGTGTCGAGTCTTGTGCGGCTCGTTTCTGCCAATACTCCGTCAATCATGTTTTGCTCCACTCGGAATGGTTGGCCAAACATCGTCAGTATGTTTCTCGCTCTTGGGTATCCCAATTCCGGGTCCAGCATTGCACATCCTTCTATGGCATCTTTGGCTTTCCCACGCCAATAGTACAACAAAAAATGAAACATTTGCCCTGTATCTGTGGTTTTTCATTTAACGAAATTTTCATATTGGCGAATAAACTGGCAGTACTGCCCGTTGTTTCCGTCAAATGGTGTTAGTATGACCCTTGACAAACCAAGGTTCACTTGGGCGTATGTTTCTTGTTCCGTGACAGATTCTTTATCCGTAGAGAAGCTACCACTGACGATCTCAGCTCAATTTATCATTTCGCCGTTGAAATCGGTCTCTTCACTCTTTACCTGTTCTATCTGCTGTCTAACTAGGTCAGGTCAGGTCAGGTCATGTTTCTAGGACGAGAACAGCTTTTCGCCTAACATGCGTCCAGGTTCATACACCAGTAGGATTTGCGACTTCTGGTGCTACAAAGTGAATAATATTTTCGTGGACTATGATGGTTTGTTTACATTCTTTAGTTTCGGAAATCTACCACAGCGAGCATCAACACCAGAGAGTTTACTTTAGGTGATACTGTTTAGAGTTAAGTCAAAATGGTTTACAGAGGTAGGGGCGGTAGAAATAAGAACTAGCAGTACCATTGTGGATTCTCAATTTCACACTAAAAATAGATACCGGCAGTTGAAGCACAAACAGCACTGGCCAGCAAGGGGAGCATCGTGTCGCTTTTTGTGCGCTGTTTGTTTTTTGTATGCATTTTTGTGCTGCAATGGTNGCAATGGTGAGTGGTTTGCTGAGACATGTTCGGGTGCATGCTCTATGTTATACGATGTACTAGAGCGTGGTAGACTTTTCGTGCCCGGCGTGCAGTAGACCGCTTATTACTTTTTATTGTAAAAATAAGAATTCTTTTGTTTTTTCTCTTCACTTCTTGCTGATTTATTTAGTTAAATCATGATTTTGTATTTGAATCTCTTTCTTCGGTCCCTTAAGACATCCCACAATAGATATATTTGGTGAAAACTGTTGTCGTGATTATCTCACTTTGCGTATCACATGAACGTCAATTGGAAACCAACAGGAGTAGATCGATATGACGTCCCACGTTTATGCTAGCTCCTAACGGTCTGGGCATGGTAACCACTCTTTTTAGACCACATGATGTTGAGCTGAGGAGGACCATACAGTTCAATTTTTTGTCCTTGTGATTACCTTGATGCCTCTATTATGATTTGGGTCTTGGCACGGCAACAAAAATTGTCCAGTTTGGCATACCTGTGAGTAGAGTTTTAAGCTAAAATGGCTCTTTACTGTTCGTGTGTACGAAGATTTGTGCGCTTTGCGATCAGTCAGAATGCACTCGTGTGCGTTAATTCATCTTGTGAGTGAGTTATGCTCCAAACCACTCCGGTACTACGTTTAAAGGGCCACAGAATGACACCCTCCCTGTGAAGGAGAGAGAGTCTGGCCAAAACGTTTGCTGACTGATGCAGGCTTAATTTACCGAAGATACAGGCGAAAAGATAAGAAGGAAAACGTCTCGATTGAGTAGCACCGCAGTACCCCCTTCATTGTTACCATCTGGGTGCAGCCTGGGAAAGATCTAGGAACAGATCCGACCATATTCGGTGTAGCCGGCGCTTATAAAGCAGATCACAGAACCGCAAGATATGACCTCCGCCGGTAGCCTATTCCAATGATTCACAATTCCGTTTGTGAAAAAGTGATGTCTAGTGTTCAATCGAGCTCTTTGCCTTTGCAGTTTCAGCTCGTGACCCCCCAGACCATCCCCATTTTAAGAGTGGAAAGGCTCTTGAGGACTGATACTGCTGAAAACCTTCATATATTTGAAGGTTTCTATGAGGTCCTCCTTAATCTTCTCCTCTTTATAGAAAAGAGATTCAGGGAGGCTAACCGCCTTTTATAAGGCTTTTTCCTTGACTCTCCACCATTTCAGTGGCTATTTGCTGTACCTTTTCAATACATTTCATATCCTTCTGTAAATATGGTGACCATGTTTGGACACAGTATTCCAGATGCGGCCTGACAACAGCCTTGTGATGTGGTACAAAACCCTCGGGTTTGGTGGATATTAGGGCCTTCCGTGACCGGAACAACAGCGAACGAACACTTCCAGATGAATTCGGACCCTGGGCAGATGGCTTAAAATCGTTAGTGATGCTGAATCCTAGATCCTACACGACGGTAGCCGTCTCAGTTGTGCGTAGCTCACCTCACCTTGCGTGTTGGTAGGCCAATCTCAACTCATGCTCTTATTCAGAAACCCGCAATCTAAACATATCGATATCCTTAACATCTGAATCGACATATGAAACATCAATGACAGGACTAACAGACCTAATATTTTCTAAAGAATCAAAACGATTCACAACCCCCCAGAGGCTTGCCGGGTTAATTCCTGTTGGGTTCCAGTTTCCTTGGTTCCTCGTCTGGGCATCTTCGAAATAGTTTTCTCGTGTGATTCCAACTTGAGTACTGTACATCAACGAAGTCACAGTTGAGTGACGCGTAGCTAGAATTTATACCAATCCCAAAACAAAACACGATTGATTGACAGCGTTCTATGGTACTGAGATGAAGAAATCATTGTAAAATGTACAAAAAAGCAAGTAGTTTTTGATGATTTACTCCATCAGATGCTTTAGAGAAGTCCAGATAAATAACAACTACCCCTTTGTTTTGGTCTACAGCATAACTCCGATCGTCCCGAGCCAAAATCAAATTAGTTGCAAATGAACCATTTTTCGGAACCCGTGCTGGGCTGGGGATAGTTATTCACTTTTTCTCCAGATGATCCATTACCGAATCTTCAGTAATAGATTCCATGACTTTGGACAACAGCGGAAGGAGAGTGACGGGTCGGTAGTCAGCTGGGTCACTACGGCATCCACCTTTGTAAATTGGTGAAATGACACCGTTTTTCCACACCTGAGGAAGCATGGTATCTTCGATCAACTTTTGGTGTAGCACACTTAAAGGATCGGCTATGCGACTTGCCGGGGTGATAAAGGCTTGTGGATGAATGCTATCTAAACCCGGTGATGAGTTCTTCTTCAAAGCCAGGAGATATGCCTTTGTCCTTTCGGGAGAAAAGATAATGTTTGTCAG